ACAGTAGATCATGGGACTCAGGAACAGGGTCATGTTCAGAGGACCATTGCAGCAGATAGACCGAGGAGAGAGATTCGTCGGCCAGCTAGGTATAATGATGTCATGGTCGCATATGCATTATCAGTGGAGGTCGTTGATGATATGGTTCCAGCCACATTCAGGGAGGCAGAGTCTAGCCCCGATTCGATCAGGTGGAGGGAAGCTATGGAGGAGGAGATGCGGTCTCTTCAGAAGAACGACACTTGGACACTTGCACATCTACCTAAGGGTAAGAAAGCTATTGGTTGCAAGTGGGTATATGCGAAGAAGGAGGGATCTTCTATTGGGGACATTCGGTTCAAAGCCAGATTAGTTGCCAAGGGATATGCACAGCTTGAGGGCATTGATTACAACGAGGTATTTTCACCCGTTGTGAAGCATTCGTCGATTCGGATTTTATTGGCGTTGGTGGCACAGTTGGATTTGGATTTGGTCCAGATGGATGTGAAGACAGCCTTTCTACACGGTGATTTAGATGAGGAGATCTACATGACACAACCACAGGGTTTCAAAGCTGCAGGAAAGGAAAATTTGGTTTGTAAGCTGAAGAAGTCTCTTTATGGTTTGAAGCAGTCACCAAGACAGTGGTATAAGAGATTCGACGGCTTTATGATTGGCCGAGGGTACACAAGGAGCCCATATGACCCATGTGTTTATATGCACAAGCTACAGGATGGTGAGCTCATATATTTGCTTTTATATGTTGATGATATGCTTATTGCTTCCAGGAATTCTTCGGCTATTCGAAAGCTGAAAGAGGAGTTATCATCCGAGTTTGAGATGAAGGATCTTGGAGAGGCAAAGAAGATATTGGGTATGGAGATCGAGCGAGACAGGGTGAAGGGGAAATTGAAGCTTACACAGAAGAGCTACTTGCAGAAGATGTTGAAGAAATTCAGCTTTGATGGCAATGCAAAAGCAGTTAGCACACCATTGGCTCCCCACTTCAAGCTTTCAACGTTGATGTCACCTGTTTCAGTTGAGAACAGAGATTATATGTCGAAGGTCCCATATGCCAGTGCAGTAGGTAGCTTGATGTATGCGATGGTGTGTACGAGGCCAGATTTGTCACAGGCCGTGAGCATGGTATCGAGATACATGCATGACCCCGGGAAGGGTCACTGGGAGGCCGTGAAGTGGATTCTACGGTATGTTCGAGGCACCGTGGATGTTGGTTTAGTATTTCAGAAGGATGAGAAGGATGGGCAGACTTGTATTGGATATGTGGATTCAGACTATGCTGGAGATCTTGACAAACGCCGGTCTACGTCAGGTTATGCTTTTACATTGGCAGGTGCACCTGTATGTTGGCGTTGCACGCTTCAGTCCACAGTGGCTCTCTCTACTACAGAGGCAGAGTATATGGCAGTTACTGAAGCTATTAAGGAGGCTTTATGGTTGCGTGGATTATTGGAGGACTTGGGGATCACTCAGGAGACTATTCGGATATATTGTGATAGTATGTCGGCTATCTATTTGGCGAAGAACCAGGTTTATCATGCGCGCACGAAGCACATCGACGTCAGATTCCACTTTGTACGGGACGTCTTGGATGATGGAGATGTCATATTGGAGAAGGTCCACACAAATGACAACCCTGCAAGATATGTTGACTAAAGTTGTTTTAGGAGTGAAATTTGGTCATTGTTTGAAGCTTTTGAACATCCTTCAGTGCTGAGGCCTTTGGAGGCCATTATTATGAACTACGTTCGGCTTGATTCCTTGGGCAAGAGGATACGTAGGCAGTCTTTCAGATGCAGTCGGTTTGATCAGTTGATTCAGATGGGGGGGGAGATCGCTTCAGCTCGAGTTTTGTTCCGGACTTGTTGAGGAACTATTGGATGATTTGGTGTCGGCTCAGTTTTTGGTGGAAACATTCGCCGAGGTGGAGAATTGAAGAAATTACAGAAACTCAAACCAGGCCGGTCGCCCGGTCCGGTCGACCGCATTCGTGCACAAGGCTTCCTGTGCGTCTGGAAGGAGATCGGTCGACCGGTGCGGTCGACCGACGGTTCTCTGGAGTTTGGGTTTTCTACTGAGAGCTGGTCGGTCGACCGGGCCGGTCGACCGGAATTGATCGCGGTCGACTGGGTCGGTCGACCGACGAAGCGGATATCAGTTTTTTCAGGTTTTTGACCCGGTTCGTTTTGTAAGTTCTATATATACCTAAACCTGTTTGTTTAGGGTAGAGGTTGGACAAATTTGAGCAGCCAAAGAGAGAGAATCATTAAATCCAATTGTGAGAGAGCTTTGAGAGATCTAGAGTTTTGTTTTAGGGTTTGGTCTGAGAGATTTGTAATCCTATTTGTATTCTCTTGATTTCTAGTAGAAAAAACTCCCCCCTCCTTGCCCCGTGGACGTAGGCAACTTGCCGAACCACGTAAATTGTGTGTTCTTGCTGTGATTGTGGTTTGCATATTGTTTGTGGTTTAGTTCGAGTTATTGTTCGTGTTGCCCTAGAAAGCTTCCGCCGCGCACAACATCAGGAACTGGATAAAAAAGAATTCAACAAATGTTCGTGTACACTTACCAGAATAGCAATTCCAAGGGTAATGTTGTGACACAAAAAAAAAAAGCTTTAGTCTTCCACTATTTAAAAAGAAAACATTAGAGACCTAACGTTCAACACAACCATACGTATTCAGTTTATCCATTCAGTTTTTGTAAATATATAAGTTGCAAATGATATGTGGCACTGATAAAACAATTTCAAGTCACAAAATATTGCAAGTTGTGTAATATTTCGGATAAATAAAGTTGATTCGATGGGTAATTTTAAAAAAGTATTACATTTCATTTTCATATTGCATTGGTTGCAAACATTGATCTTTGTTATATTTCCGCTTTCTTTCTCTATTTGTTTGGTTATGTTCTGCAGTTTTCTTAACTGCCTTGCTCTCTTCTGTTTGACATTTTCTTTTATAATAAGCTTCCCTTTCTTTCTTTCTTTTTATTTCGCTTCTCTCTTCTGAAAAAAAGATGCATACCATTTTCTCCTATCTTCATTTCATTTTAATCTTATTTCTATCAGTGTCGATATTGCATATTCTTATTCTTCTTTGAAAAGATTTAAACACACTTATTTAGAAGGATACTGTTGAACATTTAGCCAAGCAATTATAGAGCTGAAAATTAACAAGCAAATGGCGTCACATAGAATTTTAAAACTAAGAGTCAATAGAGGCAAATAAAAAAATATTAGTTTTCATTGAAGAAAAATAGATAGAAAATGAAGCACGATGCAAATATTATTAGAGAGTTAGCACATACGAACATAGTACCAGCAATATAAACTCGTGCAGAAGTTCCAATGCACCTAATTATATGGGAAAAACTGCAATGAGAAAAGACGCCCGTTTGGTTGGTTTCCTAAAATCAAAGAAAAGGAAATCGGTACAAGGAAATCAATAAAATAATATTTTCCTAAAATCAAAGAAAAGGAAATCGGTACAAGGAAATCAATAAAATAATATTTTTATCCATTTCCATCCCTAAAACTCAAATCGGTACAAGGAAATCAATAAAATAATATTTTTATCCATTTCCATCCCTAAAACTCACCCATAACATTTAATAAAATATTATTTTTATCATTCAACTCATCTTATTTTATCTCCTTTCTTACCTTTAAAAATAAACCAAACACAAGAAATGTGTCACATCATCCAACTCATCACATCTCATCTTATCTCATTTTTAAAAATCACACACATCATCCAATAATATTGTGACAACTCATCTCATCTCATTAAACCTTCCTTTCCATCCATTTCCTAAAAAAAAACAAGAAATTGATTTCCTTAAGTATGTGTCACATCATCCAATAATATACCTCCAACTCATCTCATCTCATCTATTTTCTTATTTTTAAAAATGAACCAAACACAAACAACCTCAAAACATCATCCAATAATACACCTCCAATTCATTTCCTTATTTTTTTTAACCAACCAAACAACCTCAAAACAATTTTTTTAAAAAATCACTCACATCATCCAATAATAAGGTGACAACTCATCTCATCTCATCTCCTATTCTATAATTTCCTTCTTTTTTAAACCAACCAAACAACCTTAAAACAATTATTATAGGAAATAAGTTTCCTATTCTTTGATTTCCCATTTTCTTTTGCGAAACGAACAGCCTAATTAAAACTTACAGACCAGAGCATAGGAATAATACAATGGAACTGTTCATTAAACAAGTGACTAAGCACAATGGAAATAGAAAAGCAAACAACATCAACTTCATGAAAAAAATCCAAAGACACTTTTTATGCAGCACGAACTATACAAATTTCAAATTAGAAGCTGCAAAGACAAAGATAGAAGTCATACTTTATTAGCTAATGTCAATTAATAAATTAAAAGATCAATCGAAGTCACATTCATGTTCTATATGGTTCTCAAAATAATAATAAAATTAACAGAACAATTATGGATTGAATATACATCTCATGCTTAGAAGGCTTGGTATTTTAAAGTAGTAATATTTCTTATAGCACCAATTAGCCACAATATATTTAACTAGAAACAATTACATTGAACCCTATGTATCTTCATGCCTTAAAATAGTTGCACAATAGGTCTATTCAAAATACCGGTAATTACATCCTATTAGAATTGGCTTTTTAAATTAATGGGTCATCTTCATATAAGATCACTTTAGGTTATACTTGAGCCATTGATGGTTAATGAGTTAGTCATGTTTTTCCATGGTAACACTTACTTATTATCTGTAGTTATAAACTTACCAATGTATTTTCAATTTTATAATATAGAGCGATGTCAATTGACACCACTCTCTTCAATACACATCTACCCCTGATCTGGAGTACTTCTTGATTTTGGAAACTCTTCTTATTAAGATCTTGAAATTGCAAAGGATATTGGTATTGTGAAAGATATACAAGAGCTTCAACTACAATGTACATATAAGCTAACTAGATTCTCAGCGATCTAAAACCACAAACAAATTAACCCTGTAAATATAATTGTTGGTTTCATACTACTCATAGTTTCAGTTTGCTATCAATTCATCCAAATGTCATTAGAACAAGAAACTACAACCAGTGAAAATTATGGATAGAAAAACAAACCCAGGATAACAATCACTGACTTTCCACTTCAACCGACACAATGCAACATCAATAGCCAAAACATCACAGCTCCCTGTGCCCAGCACCAGCAACGTGCTCCCAGTTTTTTTCTTCTTCTTCGAAAAAAATAAAATATCAAAAGAATACCTACATTATAAACAATAAAAAATATGATAGACTAAAACAGGATAATGTTTTAGGTGAAAGTACCTTGTGCATTTTTTTTCTCTGTTTAAGCTCATTCTTTGCAGCCATTGCTACCTGTTTGGGCTCAGGTTTTTTGCTACCACTTTGAGCTGGAAGTGAATATTTCTGCATTTTCCCCTATTTAAAGCATTTGCTTTTTCTGATCTCAAATTTTCCATACTTGTTTGAGCTCTATGGAAGTGATTTTATGCTAATTACAGAAGTGTCAACTGAACTGACAAATCCCAAGGACTCATCCTATTGTTAGCCGAAAATATTGACAAATTAAAAAGGGGTGGGCCCCACAAACCGAAAGAGACGTTTGGCATCGTCCCGGAGCAAAATTTTAGGCAGAGTTTGAAGAAAATAAAGTGACGGCCCCCACCACAAGAAAATATAATATAATATTAGTGCATAGTATTTTTTTCAACCACTATAAATACGCACAAAACTCTTTAGAAAAAATCATCCCAGAAACAACTCCTCATATAGAAGAGTGAGAGAGAAAACATAGAGAGTTTATGAGAATTCTTGGAGAGTATCTTGATCAAGAGAATGTTTTCTCTTTCATCTTTTCTTTGTAACCTCGGAAATGAATATAAAGGAATTTGGCGTCGTCGTTGTACCATGGAGTATATAATATTAGTGCATAGTATTTTTTCAACCACTATAAATAGGCACAAAACTCTTTAGGAAAAATCATCCCAGAAACAACTCCTCATATAGAAGAGGGAGAGAGAAAACATAGAGAGTTTGTGAGAATTCTTGGAGAGTATCTTAATCAAGAGAATGTTTTCTCTTTCATCTTTTCTTTGTAACCTCGAAAAGGAATATAAAGGAATTTGGCATCGTCGTTGTACCATGGAGTAGCTCCGTAAAAGTGAACCACGTTATATTTGTGAGTACTGTGATTGAATTTGTGTCTGTTGATTTTATTATGTGATTTCACATTCGTTTGGGTGTGTATTGCGTCTCTGTTTGAGGCGTTCTTGTTGGTGTGTATCCTAACAAACTGGTATTAGAGCCTGACTTAGAGTATGCTCTGTGGCTATCACTAAAAATGGATACTCCATATTAGAAAATAAGTTAGATTATTATTTACTCTTTAAAAGCACTGAGCACTAAAAGTGGATACTCGACATCAGAAAATAAGTTAGATTATCATTTACTCTTTAAAGGCAGCGGGTACTATTCACGAGTATGATACTATTCATAAGTACTATTACTATTCACAAATACGATTTGGAAAAAAACAAAATCTTTCGCCATGGGATCTACAGTTAAAGACAATATGATTCAGATTGAGAAGTTCGGCGGCCAAAATTTCCGATATTGGAGGATGCAGATAGAAAATTATTACCAAAAGGATCTCTTCCTACCCCTCCCAGGAGTGGAGGGGAAATCTGAGAAGATGGTCGACGATAAGTGAAAGATATTCGATCGTAAAGCACTTGTCACCATCAGGTTTAACCTTCACCAGCATGTGACTTACAACGTCTCGCATGCGACCACCACCAAGGAGTTGATGGAGGCTTTGGCAGCATGTGACTTACAACGTCTCGCATGCGACCACCACCAAGGAGTTGATGGAGGCTTTGGAGGCGCTGTATGAGAAGCCGTCTGCTTCAAATAAGGTTTGATGGAGGCTTTGGAGGCGCTGTATGAGAAGCCGTCTGCTTCAAATAAGGTGTACTTGATGAAGAAGTTATTCAATCTAAAGATGCAACAAGGAGCTCGCGTGACGGATTTCCTGAACGAATTTCAGGCTATGGTGCAACAGTTTACTGTAGTGGATCTTAAGTTCAACAATGAGATCCAAGCTCTTCTGTTACTTTCTTGTCTACCAGATTTGTGGGAGAATTTGGTGATGACAGTGAGCAACGCCAATGGCAATGACAAGATGAAGCTCGACACGGTGATTGGAGCAATTCTAGATGAAGAATCTCGTCGCGAAGTATCAGGAACTGAGGCCTCTAGCAGTGGGAGTGCTCTACATGTCGAGGCACGAGGGCATACGCAGAAGAAAGGTAGAGGATGACGAGGCCGATCGAAGTCCAGAGGGAAGTCTAAAGGACCGGACCCAAATGGTTACGGTGAAGGAAAGTGTTTCAGATGTGAAAAGAAGGGTCACTTTGCATGGGACTGCAGAGCTTCTGTTCCAGCATCAGCGCAGGGGATGATCAGGCTAACGGTGCAGCCAATCTCATGCACGAAACGGATTCAGATGCGCTTCTCCTATCTCTTGAAGACAAGAGCGATGCGTGGGTCATCGACTCTGACGCATCTCATGCAACCTCACAACAAAAGCTGTTTTCATCGTTCGTGAAGGACTTAGGGACAATCCATCTTAGCGACAATCAAACTTGCAAGATTTTCGAGAAGGAAAATTGTACCCTCAAGATGGAGGGCGGGACCACCTTAACGTTGAACAACGCTCGGCATGTACCGGATCTCAGGCGGACTCTTATATCAGTCGGACAACTGCTTGACTCTGGTTACAGAGTATTCTTCGAGCAAGAAAGCTGGAAGGTGTCCAAGGGTGTCCTGGTGGTAACACACGGCAAACGCGAGGGGTCTCTCTACATCGTCAATGGGAAGACCGACCGCTTGCTTGTAGCAGGACAAGCATCATCATCATCCGCCGACTGCATGACCTGACATCGACGACTTGACGACATGAGCGAAAAGAGGATGCAGATTATGACCGTGAGAGAGAGGCTTCCGGGTCTGAGCAAGATCGATCTGACTATCTTGGAGAGCACCAGAAGTATGAGGATCCACTCCGAATTGCCCAAGAATTTTTAGACCGATGCTGTGAATACCGCTGCATACTTGATCAATCGCGGGTCATCCGTGGCTCTCAGTTATGAGATACCTGAAGAGGTTTTGACCGAAAAAAAGCTGAAGCTACAACACTTACGAGTATTTGGTTGTAACGCCTATGTCATGACCAATCCTACAGACCGATTAAAGCTTGATCCAAAGTCAAAGAAGCTCTCTTTCATCGGCTATAGAGGAGATGAGTATGTGTACCGTTTCTGGGATCACGATGTGCGCAAGGTGGTGCGCAGTCGTGACGTGTTTCATGAGGATGCGGTGTACAAGACCAAAAAGGTGAGTGGGAGTCAACTATCTCCCTCTCTTTTTCCAGATATTGCTGACAGTGAGGACGACGGAGATACCAGTTAGCTTAGAAGACAGAGATCAAGAGAACGTGTTGGATGCACAGTAACAGGATCTAGCAAAGTTGTCGATCGTAGTTCGCAAAACTAAGAAATTCGAGGGTGCCAGAGAGGTACCTTTTCACCATGAATTGTCTTCTCATGACTGACAGTGGTAAGCCAGAAAGCTATGAGGAGGTACAGCAGACCGACAAAGCTCGAGACGAGTAGTCTGCTATAGAGGAAAAAATAAAATCACTAACGAAGAATGAGACTTGGGAGCTCGTAAAGCTTCAAAGAGGGCGAAAAGCTCTTCATAATCGGTGGATTTATTGGGTCAATGATGAAGCCGATGGACGGAGACGCTACAAGGCGAGGCTTGTAGTGAAGGGTTATGAGTAGAAAGTAGGGATAAACTATTCTAACATTTTCGCTCATATCGTCAAGTTGACCACGATTCGAACTGTGCTGAGCATTGTGACAGTTCGAGATCTCCATTTAGAGCAGATGGATGTGAAGACGATATTCCTTCATGGAGATTTGGAGGAAAAGATCTATATGCATTAATCAGTGGACTTCGAGGAACGAGACAGGGAGGGCCTCGTGTGTCGCCTGCGCAAGAGATTGTATAGCCTAAAACAAGCTTCGCGACAGTGGTACATGAAGTTCGAGAATTTTATGAAGGAGAACGGTTTTCTCAAATGCGACACAAACCACTGCTACTTCATCAAGAGGCCCGACTTGGCCCGCATTGATGAACTCAATGGGCGTCTCTCCAAATTCTTCGAGATGAAGGATTTGGGTCTAGCAAACCAGATTTTTGGGATGAGGATCATCAGAGACAGATCAGTACGGAGGCTGAGGTTATCTCAGAAAGCCTACATTGAGAAAATACTTAAAAAGTTTGGTATAGAAAAAGCTAAACCGATGGGCTCGCCGTTTGTGAGCCATTTTAAGCTATCAAAGACCCAAACACCAGAGACTGCTGAAGAGCATGAGTTCATGACTAACATATAATACGCATCTGCCATCGAGAGTTTGATGTATGTGATGGTGTGCACGAGGCCAGATATTGCATAATGAGTGGGAGTTGTGAGCCGCTTCATGAGCAATTAGGGGAAGCTCCACTGGGGTGTGGTCAAGTGGCTTCTATGCTACTTGAGATGCTCGTCTGACCGTTGTCTTGAGTATGGCGGAGCGGATTTACAGCTAGAAGGCTTTTGTGATGCAGACTACGTCGGGGACATAAACTCAAGAAGGAGTACGAGCGGCTACATCTTCATCTTGGGTGGTGGAACGATAAGTTGGAGATCCAAGTTACAGAATATTATGGCTATGTCGACAACCGAAGCCGAGTACGTGTCTGCAGTAGAGGTAGCAAAGGAGTTGCTATGGTTGAAAGCTTTTCTTCTCGAGCTTGGGGTAAATTTTGAGAAATAATTCATCTATTGTGACAGTCAGAGTGTCATTTACTTATTAGAGAACGACGCATTTCATACTCGGACCAAGCATGTTGATGTGAAGCATCATGCCATACGGAGATGGCAAAGCAGGAACGAATTCAAATTTGTGAAGATTGATACAATGTACAATCCAGCCGATATGTTGACCAAGCCAGTTCCGCTCGAGAAGATGAGGCTGTGTGTAGCCTCATATGGCCTCCGTGAGAACGTTGAGGGTCGTGCAAGACGCCAAAGATACAAGACATTAATATGATGCAACCAAGAATGGTATAAAGATATGACTGATACTTAATCAAATCTTCGTTAGCCGAAAATGTTGACAAATTAAAAAGGGGTGGGCCCCACAAACCGAAAAAGACGTTTGACTAAATTTAGGCACCGTCCCAGAGCAAAATTTTAGACAAAGTTCGAAGAAAATAAAGTGGAGGGCCCCACCATAATAAAATAAAATATAAAATTAGTGCATTGTGTTTTTTCAACCACTATAAATAGGTACAAAACTCTTCAGAAAAAATCATCACATAAACAACTCCTCATATAGAAGAGAGAGAAAACATAGAGAGAGTTTGTGAGAATTCTTGAAGAGTATCTTGATCAAGAGAGGGTTTTCTCTTTGATTTTTTCTTTGTTACCTCGGAAATGAATATAAAGGAATTGAGCGTCGTCGTTGCACCGTGGAGTAGCTCCGTAAGAGTGAACTACGTTATATCTGTAAGTAATGTGATTGAATTTGTGTCTGTTGATTTTATTCTGTGATTCCACATTCGTTTGGGTGTGTATCGCGTCTCTGTTCAAAACGTTCTTGTTTTATTCTGTGATTCCACGTTCGTTTGGGTGTGTATCGCGTCTCTGTTCAAGACGTTCTTGTTGGCGTGTATCCTAACACCTATAAGATTATTATGAAATAATTATGATTGTTCTATGCATGTGAAAAAATAATCTCAATTAAATTCTTCCTATGAGAATAATTTTTCCATTGCATGTTTAAAGCTAGGTAGTTATAATGTTCCGAAGGTAACTTTTTCTTTACCATATGGGTCAAAGTCATCCCATAACTTTGGCCATTCTCGCCAAAAGCTTTTTTTTTTCAACATCACAGAAGTTTGAGATTTAGAGAAAAGACCCCATTAATAATCCTATAAAGGTTAAGCAATCTAGCTAATCCTAAAAGGGAAAATTCGAGAAAATAATCACAACCAAGGAAAGTAGAAGTAAGCAAATTGAGAAAAAAAAAAGAAAAAGAAATTGACTACTTGACTTACCTGAGGAGGCTGAAAGAGAACAGCGGGTGACGAATTCAGACGAGAGAACATCCAGCAGAGGATGGAACATCGGACATGAAGGAAGAGAGAAGCAAAACCACGTGAACCTTCAATTGGAATGAGGCGATGGGCTTTTTGGTTTTGCTAGTACCGCGTACCCTCTTGGGCCGGACTGGTGTTGCTAATGACGAGCCCAGTATTAACTAAGGAGCTGTTTGGTTCGTTTTTCAAAAACGATTTTCCTTTCTTTTTTTTGTGTTTTTTTTACTTTCTACTTTTCATGAAAGTGTTTTTTGTATTTGTTTTGTTAAAAAATTAAAAATATGGGCTGAAACTTGAAAGAAAAAAAAAATGTATGAATAGATTCCCTGCTTATTTGTGTCCATCTTGAACACAAATCCATCTCAAATCACATGACAAACGATATATCCAAAAGAAGTAAAAAAATCTCACCTTGTCATCAATGGCGATCTTCAGAGGGATGATCCTCCCCTTCTGCTTCATCTTGTACAATCTCCTTCCCAGCATCACAAACCCAACAATGGCCGCCATGATGGAGATCGACCACACAGGCCTTGCCCTTGAAACCCACAGCTTCAGCACCTCCAATGGCATCCTCCACCAAACCCTCTCCTCATTCCCATCAAAGCTCCCACCTTTCCCCAATTCACCGCCACCAACCTCCTCGTTCTCCTCCACCCATCAAAGCCCTTTTCAACCTCACCCTCCCTTTTCTTCCTCAAAGCGAGGGCTTCCAGATTCCTCTCGGCGTCGAACTGGGGCCCACCTATCTCCGCCAGCACGCCAGCGGCGCGCGCGGTTGTGCCGCAGTGACCAACGGGTCGATCACCATCATCGCCCTCTCTCATTCAAAAATTAATAACTGAATAAATTAAGGAAAAAACAAAAAAAAAAAGCTTAGAAAAACCTCAGAAGTTTTTAAGAGAGGAACATTTTCGGGCGATTTCGGGATTTTGAGAGCGGAAAATTTTCTGTGGAAATTGCCTAGCTGGCACCTCCTCTTAATTTCCCTCACTTTCTTTTTTGCAAATCAAACACTTGATTGTGAAGGAAAATACAAAAATCATTGTCAGTTTTTTAGAGCTTATTTTCTGTTGTTTTTAAACGAAACAAACAGCCCCTAAATCCCAAGGAACATTTTCATCTGTTTGTTTCGTTTAAAACCAGCAGAAAATAAGCTCTAGAAAACTGACAATGTTCCTTGGGATTTAGCGCTCTAGAAAATGTTCCTTGGGATTAATGGTGTTAGTAATTTACAAAAACAAGTTACCACGGTTGCTTGAGATTGAGACCCTTGGGATGAAAGCATTAGCTCAAATATGCTTGAGATTGAGACCATTGGGATGAAAAGCTTTGCTCACATAATGCAATCTCTACAAAACAAAATTAACATTGAGTTGAAGATAGCTACTCATGCTACAACGCTTATATATATGCAACTTATACTGTTGGTTGCTCTTTTTTTTTACCGTTGCCCATACATAACCGTTGGGTCCATTAATTCAAAATTATGTTGGTATTATAAAAACTTTGTTGTCTTTTGTGAGTGGTAAGCTCACCTTGGTGACCTTAAACAACATTTCTCATTATTTTTTATTGCCTACCAAACATAGGAAGTAGAAGAAATGAAGAATGCTTATCAGATTTCTTGATTTTTAGATGTTGAAACAAACCAAAAAAATGAGAAACAATGCTTTTACAGCCTATGATTTCAAGGCGAAACAAACCAAAAAAATCAAATATGAAAAACTCTCTAAAATGTACTTAAATGGTTTTTATCATGGTTTTGTGTTTCCTTTTTTTTTTGAAGGAAATGAACCAAACAGGCCCTACATGACATCCTCTCTCTTGTATGTTTGATTAGAATTTAAAGATTTGGGTTGTAGTAACTTTGGGGATGAGTTAGGGTTTAATCTTAATTAGGGTTTAATTATGCAATGATGAATTTTAATTTGATTAGATTCTAATTATGCATTGATGAATTTTAATTTAGTGAGGGGCATAGTTGCCCCATAAATGCAACAGGTATATATAACAGAATATTCCCCTATAGATTTAACATCCACTAACTTGAAAGGACTAAAATCAACAACTTAAAGCAATTTGAGGGACTAATATCAAAATACTTAGATTTGAGGGACTAATACAAAATAGCTCAGATGTAAGGGACTAATACTAAAAAAACCAAAAGAATATTTACAAAACTAGTAAGAAAATATGGGACGATCCCGTGAGCATATCTGACCTTGCATAAAAAACTCAGATTAAAATTCATAAAAATGAGGGAAAACATTAGGCGTAAACTGCTTCAGAATTTTAGCCTACTAGAGGGGAATAACTCTGAACTTGTCACGGATATGTTAATCGGGTGTTGCTACAATGACCCAAATATGGGACCCAAGGCATGCGACAGATGAGGTGTCACCATCAGGTTGTATGATGCACTATTTATGAATGGTGCATCATGCAACCGGATGGTGACACCTCACCTGTCCCATACCTTGGGTCCCTTATTTGAGTCCTTTTAGCAACACCCTATGTTAATAGTTTCACCTGACATTTCCTTGTAGCAACACCCTTCATTGATTAGACGACTATAAATACACTAATGTGGGATTTAGAAAGTCCACAAATACATAGTGAGCAGTAGTTGAGAAGACGAGAACTCCAACACCAGATTCCCAAGGTCCACATCAAGAAATTTCAAAATCTGTTGCAATCTTAGATCCTTGTATCAATGACAGGGTCACACCTCGGTCCATCAATCAGGTAACACGTCTGCTTTCAGTATTTATGACGGCTTTCGGGATTGCATATATGCAAACCTTTTTTGCTGCCCCTCACTTGCCGAGCAATAACCTGAAGAACCCACTTCATTGGCATCGGCATCGGCATCTGCATCTCTACATGTTTAATTGAACGAGGGCCTCTTCTTTGCCTCGCCATATGTTGTCAATAGTATAGAGAACAATGCACTTTCTGTTCATCCACTGTCAGATGATCAACCGATAAATGGTTGAAGTTCACAATCATAGCCATCATAACGACGCATCTTCATCTCAAACCTGAGAAGTTCTAGCACATCATATATGTCCTCCGATCGCATATGCCTCCTATCTCCAGACACAAACTCATGGCAATTGCCGTCGATCTCCACACCACTGAATCCAGGACTCTTCTTTATCCCGAGCGACTTCATCATGTTCCTCACTCTCACAGCTCCATCCCATCTCCCGACATCCGCATATATATTAGATAACAGCACGAAATTCGAATCTGTGTCAGGCTCCAGCTCCACCAACCAGCCCATCAACTTCTCAGCCAAACCGACGTTTTTATGCATCCTGCAAGCCGCAAGTAGAGAGCCCAACACAACCTCATTCGGACCCATCACCGGCATCATTCTCTCCACCAAGTCCATTGCCTCCTCTAGCCGCCCAGCTCGGCCTAACAAATCAACCACACACCCATAATGCTCAATTCTCATCGGGATCTTACTATATTTCCTTTGCATAAGTTTATAGTAGTTAAGTCCCTCATCGACCAAACCAGCATGACTGCAAGCAGTCAGAGCTCCGGTGAAGGTAACGCCGTCAGGCTGGACACCCATCTTCTGCATTTCACTAAAACAATCAAGCGCCTCACCGACAAACGCAGCCGTTGACTGGCAGATCGCACATCCATTGTTCCAAGTGACCCTTGTCCTTCTAACGAGTTATCACGCATCAAACACTCTGGCAAGCGAGTCAATGGGCGCCCCACCGACCTACGAATCATGTCAAATGAAAGACAATTAGCTACCCAAAATGTTACCTACGCAGAGGATCAGCGCCCGCGGCTCATCGCGTCATTCGGTGCAGACACGCCACAATAGAGATAATCATGACATAATCAGGCACAATCTGGGCCGTCAGCTGCATTTCTTGAAAGTGGTGCAGGGCTTCTTCGAGGAGTCCGTTTTTGACGAAGCCGTCAATGAGGGCGGTCCATGAGACCTTGTCACGTTCGCGCATGTGGCGGAAGA